AAACCAAAAACTACGAATATTATACCCTATAATCAATAGAAAATCTAAATTATCAATTGAAAACAAGTTAATAATTTTTAAGGTAATATTCAGGTCAGTCTTGATGTATGGACACTCCATTTGGGAAAAATGTGCACAAACACATATTAAAACAAGAAAGGAAAGCTAACTTCGGGCGGAGCCGAAGTTTATATACCCTTGCAGTTAAAACCGGATATATATCGCAAACATCGAATATAGTTGTCCGATCCTTATGATTATAACTAAAATAAAAAATCTAAAAAAAGTCCCAAACTTCTATCTTCAAAAATACGAAAGTTGATATTTCTACCAAGTACCATTTCCGATCGTTCAGTTATATGGCAGCTATAGGATATAGTCGACCGATCCTAATAAAATTTGGTAGCTTAGATCAACTGGCCATTAATCTGTATTAAGTTTCAGCTTTCTATCTTCACGAAACGAAAGTTGGGTCATTTCCGATCGTTCAGTTATATGGCAGCTATAGGATATAGTCGGCCGATCTGGGCCGTTCCGACTTATATACTGCGTGCAAAGGAAAGAAGGGTGTGTGCAAAGTTTCAAGACGATAGCTTCAAAACTGAGAGACTAGTTCGCGTAGAAACAGACAGACAGACGGACAGACGGACATGCTCATATCAACTCAGGAGGTGATCCTGATCAAGAATATATATACTTTATAGGGTCGGAGATGTCTCCTTCACTGCGTTGCACACTTTTGGACTAAATTATAATTCCCTCTGCAAGGGTATAAAAATACAAACGTGCCAAAATAAACTTCTAAAACTATTACTTAATCTACCATATTACAGAAGCACTAACTACGTGCATGAAATGTCTGGAGTCCAAACGGTACAACAATATATTTCATAATAAACTCTTTTAGTCAGTAAAAGTAGTAAAGTTAGTAAATAAGTGTCAAATCAAGGTTTTTAATCAAATTTTTCCATGAAATAATAATATGTTATAAATAACCAAACGAATAAAATATTATAATATATTTCAGTTGAAAAGCATATGCTATAACTCTGTAAAAATAAAATTTGTAACATTAGCTTTAATTAAATTTATAAATTTTTAGGAAATAAAGCACACAGAATAATAATAATAATAATAATTTAAAAGATGAACCTATTGTGTCAAAAAGTCCACGTTTTGGCCTATTTTGCTGATGAATAGTTAAACCATTTAATCCTTTCAGAAGTTTATCATACAAATATTTATCATCATATTATACAACATTCGAGTCTGTGATCTTGTTACCATAAGATTTAGGGAGGATATTGATTGCTGTTAAATTTTTTCTTAGACAGTTATTTTTATACACTACTACTTCAATGGAATTCTCGAGAACAATAAATAGCCAAGTCATTTAACCATTATAGGTTTGATTGAGTAGTGGCATTGAATCTGTGTTGAATTTTTGATTTAAAATTCTCTCCATTATTTCTTGTATTTGGGCTTCCATATTAGCTAAACTTTTTTTCTTTTGGTGCGGTGTTACCAGGGCAGTATATGGGGTGCACTTGGGTAGTGATTTTTGGATTTACGACTTATTTTTCAGATCGGTGCTCTACGAGTGTTACTTTGATTCGATGACAATGATGTTTTCGCAGACAGGACCCTGAAACGTTGGGCGCCAGTTAAACACGGTAATTTGTATTATTTTTTGGACACATGGTCCGTATTTATTTGCAGAAAAATTGAAACTAAATTATGTTTACAGAAACAGAAAATGTTACAGAGAAAACAGAATAAATAGACACTTTGCAGCCGTTGTCGGGAAGTGGAACAGACGCTGCAGCCAGCACCTGTTATGAGCTTTTGACCGATGCCGGGAAGTTTCCCTTGCACTTTTACTTGCTGGTGCATTATCGCATGCGCGTGGCCAACTTCGGTTGAGAATTCATTTTGTGTTAACTTACATATTTAAGCGTAATAAATAAACTTAAGACTAGAGCAGCGGCTGCTCCCTGACCCGACAATGTCTATAAAATTGATGATTTTTCAGTCAAATTTATTGACCTTCGGTTCAAGGCATAAAAAATGTTATCTATCTTTAAAGACTTTAAATTTGTAGTTCAGTTAACCCTAGGCCGAGGCCCTAGGATTTGAAAGGTATGAAGCAAAGAGGCCAACAAGATTCGTCATTTTCATTTTTGGAAAAAAACGAAGTATAATTATTAATTAATAAAAAAATACTAATAACTGATCAAAAAACGTGTAACCGTGTAAAAAAATAGTATAATTAATAATAAAATACTAATAACTGATCAAAAACCGTGTTACCTTATTCTTTTTCCCTTTCCCACAATTCTCAAATATGGGTCGATTTTTGGGCGAAATGAGAAATGGTCCCTTTAATAGCGTTACAGCCTCCTTTGTAGGTTAATTTTCACGTGGGACTATGCCGAGTGGCCGTGATTCGGCTCCCTGTTCTAAGCAATTATTGTCCGCCATTCTTTCCTGACTAAAATATAGATGCTCAGGTGGCTCATTTCTTGCCTACGGGGTTCAGCGGTAGGGACCGTCTGAGCAAGACGGCCTTCCGTCGTAGGATATCATGGCTAGATTCTTGGAGCAAAGATCTCGGACACTCGAAAGCGTGCACAGGAATCGCATCTTTGATGAATATAAAGAGCTAAGACCATAAATTTATTAATGGTCGTATGTATATGTCCAAGGACAGGGCCATCAGGGAGTTTCCCAGGACGGCAATAGAATTAAGGAGAGAGTTATTAAGAAGTAAAACTAGTTTATGAATAACGGTGGCAACGATGCGCACCATGTATAGTTTTACTGATATACATATAAAATATATATAAAATATATTATTTTTGTTTAATTTTGAACTGATTTTTGGTAATCAGCGCCACACAGACGCATAAGCTGAGCTAAACGAAACATACAAAAAACTATATATGGATACATTCGTTTTTTCGCTTACTTAAGGCGCATAAGATTTTTCCAAATTCAAATACGTTAACGAGCTGTTCATCGGAAACATGGGAGTTTATTCATTGCATAGCTTCGTACAGTAAACAAAAGTGAGCGAAAAATTTTACTTGGTCATCGATTACGCCGTTAAACGTGGTTATGCCCAAACTAGGAAATTATACTTAAGTTTTGTTTTTTAAGTGAAACTTCTTATGGGAGGGTTTTCAAATATCGATCGGCAACCTTTTTGGTGACGCTCGCTCTAACGTAGTAATTAAGAGTGAGAGGCCTCCGGGAATCGAGTGAGAGTGAGACCGACTACCTTACGTCTCGTCTATCGGGCGAGAGTGAGAACCCTTCGTGTATGGTGCGAGAATGAGACGGAAGACTTTGTCTTTCATGTCATTCTCTGCGTTCAGGCAACGTCGCGATCGCGGAAAACAGCTGTTGGTTTCTAACACAGTGATCATAAGCAACGTATTTTGTTTTTTTGCGTGTCTTTATTACTTAAATCGAGAGTTTTGTGCAAATATTCCGAAGTCGGGTGCAGAAAGGATAAACATGGCGGGAGAAAAAAAGGGCGAGTGAAGGAATGGATCAGAATAGAAAACGGAAAAAAGTAGAACTGAAATTGAACGAGATAGCAGGGAACAAAGGTAAACACGTGCTAACCTCTTACTTGACAGTGTAGACGATAGTGTAAATAATTCAGACTTTAATAAGTTTAAAACTGCACATAAGAACTTTCACCGTGATTTTATAAATAATCCATTCGGTTTTACGTGTTATGTATGTGATAGATCATGGTTCAAAAATGACATTAGGATCTTTCATTAAAAATGACAGGATCTTTCATTAAAAATGAAAAAGATGATTCCAAGCCATTAATTCAGTTCTTTCAACAGAAATTTTCATTGGAAATGAAAAAATTCACCATGGTACCACGATCGATGCAGTTTTGTCACGTTACATCGCAAATTTGTGTTTTTCAAGAAGTGTTTGACACGTGATTAAAATGATTCCTCTCCCTCTAACAGAAAATTAAATAATCCTTGCCGATCCAATCATTCAGTTTCACTTCTATCGCGTGTCTTCATGACACACCATTCTTTTTTTATTAATAAAGCACATAGCTCATAAACTCTCGTCGGGAAAGAGCCGGTAACTTTTGATTAAAAAATTGTGATTATCGTGAATCTTTTGACTACAACGACGGACAATAAGGAAATAATGTCAAAATAATTAAATAAATTACCTACTAATACAATGCACATTAATTCATGTAAAATTATAGTGTTGTGTTTATATTCTTATATAAACGTTCTTCAACTGAAATAAGAAAGCAGTGGTGTCGATGTCGCAAACGCTTGGGGCTAAAATTCTCCAAGTCCAACCCTTTGATACGAGACCCCAAGATACGACTGAGGTAGGACTACCCCATGATAGTCGTAGTAGTAAGATTCACTACATATTTGAAATAATTTTTTTATTTTTTTTATTGAATTATATTTGTAAAATTGTGTGCGAATTCCATCTCGTTCAAATTGTTTTCTTATTTGTAAAAATACAATTTTATTAAAGGATGTTTATTATGTATATGTATGTAAGCTTACTAAGGAAATATGCTAAATTACATTTCAAAAATATTAGTTTTTTTGAATTTTCCGTGAAACAATGTTTATTTAGAATTTATCTTAATTTTTTGTTTGAATGATATAACCTAAATGATTTTTTTTATATTTGTTTAAATTTTAGATTCAATAAACACATATATTACTTCGTATACATCCTGTATATGCTAAAAATCGCTAAAAATTTCTATTAAGAGCCCATAATTTTTCTTTGACTTTCAAAGAAAATGTTTATATAGTTTTTCGTATCTCGAAATGCGACAACTATACTTCAATTTTTTTTTCTTTAAGCAATACATAAAATTTTTAAATTGGTAAGCATATTCGGTTGAATATTTTAATAAACACATATATAAACATAAAACAAAGAAATATAAAACCTAATTTACAAATAAAATGAAACGTTTTTTATTTAATTTTGAAGACAACGCAGTTTATTTTTTTTATTATTTTTAAAAAGTTTTGCATTTTGGGGTACGAAAACTAAACACTTGTGCGAGAATCGTCATTTTTTACATGTTTTAATGAATGAAAGTTTTTTTTTCTTATCAGAGAAGGTACACATAATTATTAAAATCGTATACGATATTAAGAGCAGCGGACTTTCTGCATCAATTTACGTTGCCTTAAGTTTAAATTTGCAGTATTACAAAAAAAAAACATGGGAAACTATTCTCAAGGACTTAAATCCTGATGAAGATTCGGATCGTACCCACCCATAGTGTTGTCATACGATTGCTGCTGGTCATAGCCTCCAGAACCTATTGGGTATCCCATTGAATCCTGGGGTGGGGCAGGAGACATCATGGGAGTTGTTGTACCACTTGGCGGTCCAGCCATGGAATAAGGTGAAGCACCTGCAGCCTTTTTTGCTGCATATAAATTGGCTTCCTCCTGTGCCTTACCAATATTTTTTTTATATCGAATGCGCTTATTCCCAAACCAATTTGACACTTGTGATACCTAAAAAAAGCCTTTTTTAGGTAAAAGAAGAAATTAATAAATGTATGAACTTACTGTTATGCCACATTTACGCGCAAGTTCTTCCTTGGCCTCTTCTGAAGGGTATGGGTTACTCAAGTGGCTATAAAAATATTCATTGAGAATTTCGGATGCCTGTTTACTAAAATTGCGACGCTTGCGTCGAGCGTCTAAAAAACGTGAACGTAAGATCATGACAGCCTCACAAGTAGATTGTTTCAGTTGCATTTGAATAGAACTAAATTTCTTGTGTATAATTTGAACCATTCGTTCTATTTCTTTTGGAGTAATAGGTCTGTAAATATAAAATAAAAATGTACTTCAGAATATTTAAAAAAAAATTACTTCCTTGTATTTATGGTGTAGATTAGAGGACTGCAGGAACAAATTCTTATTGCCTCAGCAATAGAATACATCCGAATGGAAAAGAATGAATGAGTGCAAGAGACACAATGAATTGAGTGAGAGGGAGTGAGAGAGTAAGAAAGCATTCTAACGCATGGGCATTCTCTTGCTTTGATACCGAGTGAGCTGGGTGGGAAGTAAGAAGAGTGCTTTTGAAATGAGAAATGCAGTCGAATGTCTCGAATGGTTTTTAACACACTCTATACACTCATTTATTTTCTTCTGTTGAGCAAAACGCGTCTTTTAATACTCTTTTATAATGAGGGAGTTGACCGAAAGTTAAATTATAATCGAAGTGTTTTTTTAGCGAATGTATGAATAATTATTTTATACTTTTGGTTTTTAACTGTTATTATTATTTTCTTAGTGCTTCCACTTTTGAATTACTTTATTATCAGCGTCTAAAAATACAGGCAAATATGCATAGTTATCGTACATCGTACATTCTATAATGCATTCTAAACAATTCGAATTCAATATGTAACTAATATTCAATATAATTCAATATTGTATCATGATTGCAACATTGAAGAGCAAACAAGAGAGGACGGCTATAGTCGAGTCTCCCGCCTATATTATACTCGATACTCATCTCTGTCACCCACAATTTAACTAACCTTTATAGTTTAAAGTTTAAACTATAAACTTAAACGTTATAGATTCTCAGCAAAAAATTTTTGTTGCATACTTTTTCGCTTAGGAAAAACAACAACATACTTACGACCATACTACGGATTCAGTATGGAAACAGGCTAAAAGGTCTATAACTTCACTAAAAATTATCCGATTTGGCTGGTTTTTAATTTGTGGGTGTAGATTAGCCGTTAAAACAGTTTGGCAAAAAAAATTTTTCAAAATGTCTTCGGGACATCTCTGCCCCAATAAAGTATATACACTGCCGCTCGTGAATGTGGTCTAAGCTATCGCAAAGTTGCAAAAAAATTGGACAAAGACAAAATGTTGTAATTTTTTTAGAAACAAATCAGAATATGGCAAAAACATGAAAGTAGGGTTGTTGGTTTTTGAAAAAATATCGTATTGATGATATTTGCTGTGAAAAAAATATCAATCGATAATATTAAGAAATATCACCAAAAAAAATCGATATATCGAGTATTTTCGATATTTTTTATGGTCAGCTAAAATTGAAAAAAGGTCGTTTGTAAATTTAAAAAAAGGTTTTAATATGTGTTTTCATCCGCCATGAACTGCAAATAAGAGCTATTTTTTATTTAAAAAGTGAATTGAAAAACAACAAATATTTATACCCACTCTCAAGCAACTTTTATTTACGTTCTTTGAAATAAAAAATAACAAAATTATTAAGGACATAGTATTCAAATGTATTTATAAAAAAACATAATATAAAAAAAAAAGTTTTAAAAAACTTAATTAATTCATGAAATATGTACTAAATAATGCTAATTACTTAATTCTCGTATTTAATGCTCCTAATTACTCTAAATTACAAAACAAATCTTTCTTCAATGATTTTAAAAAAACCTTTTCGGTTATATGCTGGTATGTCATTCGACTACGGGAGTCACAGACAACACATTTAATGGCAGAAGCCAACCGTTCAGATGGAACCGAACTTCCAGGCGTGATAAGATAACTTAATGCCAATTTCTGGCTTAAGAGTGACCAAACATATGGTAAAATATCGGAAATACCAACTCAAAAATATTATTATCGACTATTTTCGCCCTAAAAATATTCCGATAATAATATTTTTTTTAAGAGAAAATATATCGATATATTGATATTTTGATATATTTCCGACATCCCTACATGAAAGGCGGTGTCAAATACGCCACCTCTGCGGCAGAAAGGAGGCATATTGTGCGACCTTCGTACAATTCACATCTCTCAGCATCCAAAGTTAAACAAATTTGAGGTGTTAAAGCAGGTGTGTCAACAGTTAAAAGAGTAATTTTCTCGGCTGATCATCAAAAACGAATGAACTTAAAAAAAAAACCTTTTAATGATGCAGGTAAAGCTAAAGAGCAGTCGTGCTCTTTGCGCGCAAGCACATGAGCTGGACGAGCTAATGGCAGAAAGTGCTTTTTTTTTCGACGGAAAAAAAATTAATTTGGATGGCCCCGATGGATACTATTATTACTATCACGATCTTCGAAAGGAAGAGCATTTCCTGAGCCATCGCCATAGCTATGAAGGAGGCTTAATGGTTTGGGGGTCGGTCTTTGGCACTTGCGACCTGCAATTTGTTACTTTCAAAATGAACGCAGAAACCTACAAATATATAATACAGACAGCGTTTCCTTATTACTCCAACATTTTTTCATTATTAAATGGACTTCATACAGCTAGGGTGGTAAAAAAATGGATGAAGGCTCAAAATGTGGACTTGTTCGAATGGCCCCCATATTGACCTGACCTTAATATAATGGAAAACAATTGGGGTCGCTATCGCGCATGGTATATAAAGGTTGAACCTATTCAGATGAACAAAAAAAAATCATTGATTCTGTTAAGCTTTCAGAAGAAAAAATCAATAAGGAATAAAAACAAAATATTTTTGAAAAAAACTTCTATACATTTTAATTTTAATATGATTTAAGAAAAAAAAAATTATGTAAATGGAAACACTGCTTTAGGAATTATAGATAAATTTCTACCAATGAGATTATGAACCTATTCAGTCGAGCGGCAGTGTATATTTTTGATTAGGATCACCTCCTAAGTTCATTTGAGCATGTCCGTCTGTCTGTTTGTCTGTTTCTTCGCAAAATAGTCTTTCAGTTTTAAAGCTATCGACTTTAAACTTGCACACACTCTTCTTTCCTTTGCACGCAGTATATATGTAAGTCGGAACGGCCGGGATGGACCGACTATATCCTATAGCTGCCATATAACTGGTTGATCGGAAATGCGATAACTTTGGTGTTTTAGAGTAAGAGTAAGAGATTTTGTCGTATTTTGCATGAATGCTACTTTTGGCAAAATAATACGACTTACAAAATTTCACAAGGGTCGGCCGACTACATCTTATAGCTGCCATATAACTGATCGATCGGAAATGGTATTTGGTAAAAATACGGCTCCGCCCGAAGTTAGCTTTTCTTGTTTTTAGATATTGATTTACAATTCACTCACCTTGTGCGACTTTGTTCTCGTAAAAGGTTCATAACGTGAGTTGTAAATTCGTTACAGGCCTGCTCGTACTTTTCCAACTCCTGATGATAAATCTGACGTATTTGAGCTAGTTTTGCGCGGTAGTCCGAATGCTCTATAGCATTATCAGCTCCATCAATAGAAAGCGATCCGCCTTGGCTAGCCGCAGCTGCTGATGCGGCTGCCGCTCCCCCACCGCCTTTTTCAGGGCCCGCAACACCCTCGGCAATCAGCATATTATCCAATCTCATAAGCTGCGGATCTGGGGGCTCCTCCTCCTGGGTATTTCTAATAGAAAGAACTGTAATGAGCAATGTGAAAAAATAAATATTAGTAAATTCTTTACTTTTTTATCCTTTTTTTATGTTTTGAATGACTTTTTATCATAGCTAGCAAATAACTGTTAACCTCTTTTTTCCTTATGTTCACTTTTTAAGAACAACTAAAATCTCAGACTAGTCTCTCAGTTTTAATGCTTTCGACTTGAAATTTTTCCCACACCCTTCTTTCCTTTGCACGCAGTATATAAGTCGGAACGACCGGGATCGGCCGACAATATCCTATAGCTGCCATATAACTGATTCATCGGAAATGGTATAACTTTGGTGTTTTTAGAGTTAGAGAGTTGAAATCAATGTTAAATCACAACGCTTAGATTTACAAACACCGTGCTTTTTTCACATGGGAAAACCACACAGATAAATAAACAGCTGTGCGACCGGAAAATATGGGACAATGGAATTTTCCATTTTGGGCTAAAAATTCATATAAAACAATCTAATTTACTTTAATATCAACAAATAACTTGAGTTTCGTTTAAGATTCAGATGGAATTACACTTTCCAGAACATTGCCCCTGAGGATTCATATCAGAGACCTGCAAAAATCACTATTTTCTTGATTTAATCATACGCGAACTTTTTCATTCAACTCAACTTACTAAACAAAACCCAGTGATGAGAAAAATTCAACTCATTTTGCCGTACACCGTACACTCATTCCGATCATCTTGAACCTTCGGTTTAATGATTAATGACTTATAACCAATGCGCCTCGATTTTAATCGGAAATGACCCAACTTTCGTGTTTTTGAAGGCAGAAAGTTGGAACTTTGTACAGATTCTATTTTTGTTGGTCAGTTGATCCGAGCTACCAAATTTCATAACGATCGGCCGACAGAAGAGCTAACATCAGGCGGAGCCGAAGTGGATATACCCCTTGCTGTTAAAACCAGATAAATATCGCAATCATCGGATATAGTTAACCGATCCTTATAAGAATATGATAATATAACCCAATTTATCTAAAAAAAAGTCCCAAACTTCTTTCTCAAACATACCAAAGTTGGTATTCCTACCAAAAACCATTTCCGATCGTTCAGTTATATGGCAGCTATAAGATATAGTCGGCCGATCCTTATAAAATTTGGTAGGTCGGATTATCAGACCAAAAATATAATCTCTACTAAGTTCCAGATTTCTATCTTCAAAAAACACGAAAAATAGCTCTCATGTAAAATTTGAACTCCCTAATTTAAAAAACACCAAAGTTATACCATTTCCGATCAATCGATTATATGGCAGCTATAGGATATAGTCGGCCGATCCCGGTCGATCCGAGTTATATACTGCGTGCAAAGGAAAGAAGGGTGTGTGCAAAGTTTTAAATCGATAGCTTTAACACTGAGAGACTAGTTCGCGTAGAAACAGACAGACAGACGGACATGCTCATATCAACTCAGGAGGTGATCCTGATCAAGAATATATATACTTTATAGGGTCGGAGATGTCTCCTTCACTGCGTTGCACACTTTTGGACAAAATTATAATACCCTCTGCAAGGGTATAAAAAAGCAATAAGGATAACACATACCAGTCTTCTCTTTTATTTCACACAAGACGGAGAATAGTGCCGGCTTCATTCGATGACAATTAAGCGTATGTTTTCTTGCTTGCGCCTCATCCAGCGACTGCTCTGATATACTCATGATTTGTTGTAATATTTCTCCAATATCCTTTTGTTTACGGACCTCATTCTCACTCCCTGTATTTTGTCCATCATCTTGACCTGTTAGCCCATAGCCTTGGGGAGCCATCATTCCTCCAGAGTGGGCTAACATGCGATTGGGATCTTCCATACTTGGAGTAAGATGCTATTATCCCAATACCAGACGAATGGTATTAAAAAATACTGAAATAGTCAAAAATAATTATTTAGAAATATAAGGACATTTTTTTTAACATTTTCGATGCCCTATCATTCCAAATGCTTATTTATATCTACACAAAAAAATTTAAATTAAGCTAAATCTGAAAATTTGTTGTATTTTTGTACTTTTCACATGTCTACTTACTAGAGTACTAAACTGAGCGAACCACCTAATTATAAGTATTCAAAAACCCTATATAACAAATGCTAAACAACCCAGCTTACTTTTGACTACTTGGTACTTATATTACGGTACCTATTGTAAACGAACGCCGTAGCACCCAAATTAAATAAACACAGAAGCGGCAGAAAGACAATCTAACGGTTGATAATATTTTATCACATTTTGTATAGTTATTCTGTAAATGGTGATGGAAAACTACTTATTCACATTTTAAATAATAAGACTTGTAATATAAATAGAATTTAGTTTCGTTTTGTTTACTCCTCTTTCGCAATGCTCAAGCTGAAAGCACTGCAGCAAGTTAAGAGAAGTACCCGTACAAGTGAAGGAAAATCAAATATACATAATTAAAAAAAAAAAAATTTGCAAACAACGACCTTTTTGCACACCCTCGTTTCTCTCGTTCCTTTGTTGTTGTCCTTCTTTTTTATATGGGTAAAGCACATGTATATTAGAGGTCTGCAGGAATACATTCTTATTGCCTCAGCCATTGAATTCATCCGAATGGAATAGAATGAATGAGTGCAAGAGACACAACGAATTGAGTGAGAGGGAGTGAGAGAGCATTCTAACTTGCTTTGAAACTAAACTAAGAGCATTATCTTGCTTTGAAACCAAGTGAGTTGGGATGGGAAGTGAAAAGAGTGCTTTTGGAATCAGGAATGCAGCCGAATTGGTTTTTAACACACTCTATGCATTCATTTATTTTCTTTTGTTGAGCAAAACGCTTCTTTAATACTAATAATTCTTTAATGAGGAAATTGACCGAAAGGTGAATTATGATGAAAGGGTTTTTTTACTTATGGTTTTTAACTGTTATTATTATTTTCTTAGTGTTTTTTTTTAGTTTTTTTTAAGTTTTTCCAAATTAAATTATTTTACAACATTTTTTTAGCGGCAAAAATGTGCTGGAAATTTATTTATTAATAAATATTGAAAATATTGTATATAATATGTATATAAATACAATCACTTACTTCCACTTTTGAATTATTTTATTATCAGCGTCTTAAAATACAGGCAAATATGCATAGTTGTATTGTACATTCTAGAATGTATTCGAAACAATTCGTATGCGAACTGTAACTCTAACTCATTTAATTCGGTTTTCAACCCCCGAATGTTGTGCGAGTGAGACCTACACAGTCGCACTCACTCATTCATAAATTTTCGTCTCAGCATTCTATCTCACTCAATTCATTTTCAAGGTTGTGCATTTGAATGTCGTTTTTTAGCTATTCATGCAGACCTCTAATGTATATGCGGATCAGCTTAGGCGAAGGCCAATTAGAAGCACAATTATGGATCTTCCCCTGTTCTCCTCCTTCACTACCTCAATCACGAAAATCGTAATGTATTTTGTTGTTGCATGCCGAAAACTTTTTACTGCAAGAAATAAAATCTTGTTTTAGTTTCTGGCAGAATGATTGATTTGAAGCGACGAATTTCTTTGCAGAACCTTTTTTAGTAGGAAGCAATATATTGTTTGCCATAAAATAATAGGGTGGTTTAAAAAGCTGGCCTTTTATTAATTGCTAAATATTTAAAATTTATTTTTTGATTCAATTTTTTTTTTTTTCACCCCATTGTGAATGGTACTAAAGTTTTTGTAGGTACTAATGGTACTAAAGTTTTTGTAACGACATTAAACAAAAAAAAAACAAGCAACAATGGTTGTTTCTTTCTTGCATTGATTTTGCAGCTTGCTCAGCCGTAAGCTAATTTCGGGAACCCCGGATTTTAAAAAATTGCTTTAAAAAATATGTTTCAAAATATATAACATGGAATATATTATGTACAATACAGAATGATGAATTTTGTATAATACAAATTTTAAAAAAGCTCCAATCTTCTGACTTAAAAGCTCCAAAGTTCCCACCAACTAGTTATATGGCATCTATAGGAAGTATTCAACCGATCCCGGCCAGTCCGCATTGTATACTGCGTCCCTGCGACCGTAAAAGTGTCGTGCTGTGCATATGTCAAACTGCAATGGCTAAGGCATTGAGGACCGAAATTTCTAGTCCTTCCATTAGGAATGTTCAAATTTAAGCGTGTTAGTAAATACTGGCTATCTACATCCCCATTAATTAGATTATTACTGTGGGCAAAAAGTAAAGTGAATTTTCAATTTAAAATTCACGGGCTTAAAATGACGAACAAGTTATTTTTTTTATGTTGGCGTCACTGTTAATGTCAATACCAGTATCAGTTCTATATTTACGCTTGAGTTTGTCCGACTTATTTGAGCTGAAAAGTGCTACAAATTTTGTTTGCGGAATGAATTTTCGGGTGCGGAAACGTTGGTGATTCTACCATGTCCCTGAAAAATGTTTATAAGAGATACAAAGACATCAAAGAAGGTCGGCAACTTGTTGATGACCGGAGCGCTCCGGTCGACCATCGACGTCAACAGATGACCAACACGTCAATGAAGTGAAGGAATTAGTGCTCAAAAATCGTCGGTTGACTGTTAGAGACCTTACTGATATGATCGAAATATCAGAAGATCGTGTGAAAACCATTTTCGAAGACAATTTGTGACTACGAAAAGTCGAATCTCGTTTGGTACCGAAATGAAAACCATTTTTCAAAAGACCACTCCGGGGAACGCGTTTCGAGTCGATTGAGGAGGCGCCAAGGGCGCTCATGGCTATACCGGAAAAGGACTATTTGTATTTCATTGGGAGGGGATCAATTATTCTTCTCTTTTCGTTTTACAAACAAATTCACCTTACTTTTTGCCCACAGTAGTATGTAGAAAAACTACACCGAACATTGTCCTACGATTTGTTAAGCTGGTTGGTAAGCTGGTAAGCTACGATTGTTAAGTTAATTTATTAGTAGAGTCTGCTACTGTAAGACTGAAGTTGAGGATTTGACATACGCTTGCATTTTGATCTATTAAGTATTAAATAATTTGCTAAAAATTTGTCATTTTGGAAAGTTTTTAAAATCAGACTGAAGACTGCATTGGGCAGAGATGGATTTGTACTGAAGACAAAGCTTTACATCATCTGCATACATAAGAACTAGAGAGTTAGTTAAAGCAGGGTGCAAGTCATTAATAAAAAGAGTAAATAATAACAGGCCAAGATGACTTTCTTAAGGACGCCAGATGTATCACGGACCAAACGGAAATGTATGCTTTTGAATAAGACTCTTTGTGTTCTTGCATCTAAGTAGCCGGATATCCACGTTAGTAGGTCTGTAGAAAATCCCAGCATATTCAGTTTAGAGTGAGTGATTAACTGAATCAAATGCTTTGCTGAAGTTTGTGTAAATTACATCGGTTTAATATCCCTTACAAAAGCCATCTATGACAAAGGATGTCAACTCCAGTAAATTAGTGGCGGTGGAGCGACGCTTAATGAAGCCATGCTGACATGGAGACATGATCGAAGAGCAAAGATGTTGCAAACGAGGAGTAATTAATTTTTCAAATAACTTTGGAAGTGGCGACAATTAAGAGATTCCTTTTTAGTTGGCAGCATCGGACTTTTTCCCCTTTTTATGTAAGGAATTTATAAATGATTCTTTCCACTTAACCGGGAAAATCGAGGTTTCCAGAGATAAGTTGAAAATTCTAAGAGGTTTGAGGCCTGGCGAATAAATAGTTTTGACCCTTAGAAGATCAGATAATAAGGTAATCTCGGAGAAAAACGGACAGAAAGTAAGATTTGCTGATTGAATGTTGTATGCGTAAAGGGGCCCATCCACAGGCGAGCATATTCGTCAACATACATAGCTCGCCTACTTGAATTTCATTTTCCCCACTAACTAGAGCCAACATTCGTGCGAACATCATTTTTTGATAAATTTTCAAACTATCAACATGTCAACGGACAACGATAGCGGCACTCTAATTGCACTTATGGCAATAGGTATTTGCTTAGAAAAAAAGACAAAAAAAAAGGAAGCACAGTATGTGGATGAAGGAATGGTACGCAAAGCGGCTAAAATTCACACATACGAAGCTTTTAAAGGAGTTGCATGAAACGTCTCCTATGGATTTAAAAAACTTTCTTCGAATGGACAGTTCTACATATTTCTACAAGAACTGTTAAATTTAGTAGAGCCTGAAATACGAAAACAGGACACACAAATGCGTGAGGCATGCATTATTACGCAAATGCTTGTTTTTATGTTTTGTTTTTTATGCAAATGTTTTTTAGGCAATAAATAAAATCTTGCAGGAATGTTTTGTTAATTTTGCTCTACCAAAACGTTTTTCAAACTGACGTTCGTGCCAACATTGCCATCCATTGGCGAGCATGTTGTTGCCAACGTTGTCAAAATAGAACGATTTCAATTTTATTCGAACATTTTGACGAACACAAAATTTGACAACGAACACTACCATCCACAGGAAAAATTTCGTCGAGCACAACATGTTCGCCCAACATGCTCGCCTGTGGATGGGCCCTTTAAGGCTGATCTGACATTTTAGGCGGAGAATAAGGTGATTGAAGAAATTTTGCGAATAGATCGGCCTGATCAGAGGTCGTAGATGAATTTTCAAACGTAAGCAGAAGTAGAAAAGATACGAGTTTATGCTAAGTGTTTGCAAAGTTATAAAACTGCTTTGGATCCTGAGTAAATTTTATCCGGCAGCGGCGAATATAACGGTAAAATTTGATTGAGCTAGTAGATATCTTGAAAAATCTATACTAAAGAAGGTTTTTTTTTATGTTTAAGTAAGAGCCTATTTTTAGTATTTTTCAGGTTAGTAAGGCGCCTTGCAAACCAAGAAGGATTTGTTGAAGCGGACGGATATTTCCATGGCACACATGAGTCAAAAAATTTATTTAAAGTTCGGAAAAATTTTTCTAAGGTGACATTTGGATCGGTGCATGCCAGAATATCGGACCAATCATATGTAACGATAAGGCTATTAAGTTTGTGAATATCAGCTTTACGGAAACAGCGAATCTTATTTGCCACACATGGAATCTTTTGATCCTTTTGAGACCTCCAGCGTGGGGTGATATGGATCCTCTGGGGTTGAAAGGGGGAAAGCTGTGGAGAGAATAGTACCATCAGGATCAGATAAAAAACATAAGTCTAAAAGCCGACCTAACGAACAATAAATACACAATAACAATATAAACCAGACCTACGGGAAATGGCATCCGAAACTGCGGCAGTGAATACGGCACACTTGGCGTGTACGACGTTTCACATAGCCAGCAATTAATGGTAGGCTGAGATAAGGAGATTGTCTTGTTTCAAGACTTCATTGAACAGACGAGTTTTAAGGGGTTATATACAGTTGTGATATATGAAAAAATCGATTTTTTTTATTGCATATTCTTTAAGTATATTCTATTGGGAATACTCTCACAAAAATTCATAACAATCGGAGCATTAAAACCGAAGCTGTAGCTATTTATAGCGCACTATCTGCATATAAAACTTGAACAAACTTGAAACTTTAAACGCGATTATCTCAGAATCTTTTTTTTGGGAAATTACCTTTGCGGTGGACACGATTACTAAAAAACTAATAATCCGATCAACACCAAATTTTGACCACTTATTTATTATAATATTAGCTAGTCCGTGAACGAGGGATTTTTAATTTTTTTGAAAACTCCTTTTTTAAAGCACAAAAAACGAAAATCTTATACCTTGAAAAAATACATTTTTTGTTAAAAACGTCGCCATTTTTTTTTTAGTCAAAATTTTTAAAAATCCCTCGTTCACGGAAAATACAATATACTAACTAAACTTTTTTGAATTTTGGATTTCGGATGAACCGTTTTCGAGAAATCATGTCCACCGCAAGACACCATGGAAAAAAGACGATCCGGGAATTCGGCTATAACCTTTTTGTTATGCAATCTTTTTTTATGAAAAAATTTAATTAAGTACCCAGAAACATGTACTAAACAACGTTGGTAAAACATTTTTCATAAATATTTTCTATGGTGTCAAAAAAAAATCGATAAAAATCCATATTTTTGCGCGGTACAACTGTATATAACCCCTTAATTCCTTTTCAAAAATTAAGAATGTAAAAACAATATATATATATAAAGTTAAAAAACACTATACCTTGAACCCCTGTGCTAAATAAGAGCTCAAGCGGGAGCTTTGGAGTAAAGAAAAATTTCAGAAATAGGCCTCTATTCAGAATAGGCGAACATGTTGTGCTATTTCAGAATAGGCCTCTAATTTCAGAAATAGGATAAGGCCTCTGTTGCACAAAAAGAGGAAGAAATTAAATTTAAAAAAATTATTTAAATATACCGCAGCACACGCAAAGCGATACGGTTTAAGTTAAAACTGAAGTTTCTCAAAAAATTCGATTCTCAAGCGGTTTACCAAAAAACACGGCCGTTCGCTTAAGATGAAGAGAGAGAAGTTTAAACATAAAGGAAATTGCTTACTTTATTATAGGAAATACATATTCTCATTTTCCATAGGAAGCGTGCATAGGATCGGAAATTCTGCCGCAACTCTGCCGGAACATTCACAGTGTGAGCATGGTCAAATTTTGTTTAGAAGTTCTCTCATTTGCTCTCATTTTGCTTTTCTTGACAATTAAAAAAAAAAAAAAACAACAAAGAAAAGCTAACTTCAGGCGGAGCCGAAGTTGATATACCCTTGAAGTTAAAACCGGATATATATCGTAAACATCGGATATAGTTGGCTGATTCTTATGAGAATTTCATAATACACTGCCGATTAACTACATAGGTACACATACATTTGCTTCCATTTTTATAATTTTTTCATTGTATATTGATCGTATGCATATTATTTTAAATACATCTAAACTTAAAATTTGTGTTAATCAGTATGTGCTAGTAATGAACCGTTTGCTAAGTACCAGTACTTTACATATTATGTTTTGCTATTGATTCCGCTAATTTATTTGCAATTTTTTGGTTCAACTGAAAGATTATTAGTTTGCGATTAAACTTGGAGGTGTGGCGACACATTTTTGATGGGACCTTTTAATTTCATATATTTTATTTAAAATAAATGAAAAAAGCGGAGAACAATTTTCGAGGTCTATCGTAAAAATGGTCTTGGCCATCGCAAAATCGCTTTTAATAATTTAACGAAGACAAAATGTTGTAACTTTTTAATAAGCAAATCGGAATACGGAAAAAACATGAAAGACGGAATCAGACACGCCATCTCTGTGGCAAAGTGGAGGCATATTGTGCGAGCTGCATCCAATTCGCATCTCGCAGCACCCAAAATTAAAAAGTTTGCGGTGTTAAAGCCAATGTGTCTACAGCTTTTGTCAACTAATCACCTACACCAATTAAAACTTAAAACAAGAAATGAAGTTAGCTAACTTCGGGTGGAGCCGATGGCGGATACCCTTGCAGTTCAAACCGGATATATATCGCAAAAATCTAATATAGTTGGCCGATCCTTATGATAATATCATAGTATAACCAATTTATAAAAAATAAAGCTCAAGCAAAGTATCAAGCTTCTATCTTCAAAAATACAAAAGTTGGTATTTTTACCAAAAACCATTTCCGATCGTTCAGTTATATGGCATCTATAGGATATAGTCGGCCGATCCCGGTCGTTCCGACATATATACTGCGTGCAAAGAATAGAAGGGTGTGTGCAAAGTTTCAAGTTGATAGCGTTTAAACTGAGAGACTTGTTTGCGTAGAAACAGACGGACGGACGGACAGACGGACATGCTCATATCAGGAGGTGATCCTGATCGAGAATATATATACTTTATAGGGTCGGAGATGTCTCCTTCACTGCGTTGCACACTTTTGGACAAAATTATAATACTCTCTGCAAAAAAGCCTCCGTTAAATGATGCACGTAAAGCTTCACGACTGATCTTTGCGCGCAAGCTCATGAGCTGGACGAGCAAATGGCAGAAAATCCGACGAAAACAAATTTAATTTGGACGGCCCCGATGGATACAATTATTACTAACACGATCTTCGAAAGGAAGAGCATTTCCTGAGCCGTCGCCATACCTGTGAAGGAGGCGTAATGGTTTGGGTGTCGGTATTAGTCATTGGCACTTGCGACATGCTATTTGTTACTTCCAAACTGAGCGCAGAAACCTGCAAATCTGTAATGCAGAAAGCGTTGCCTTATTATTCCAACATTTTTCACGTTATTAAATGGACTAACCAACGTATGGGGATTGCTATCGCGCTAGGTATATGAAGGAGGAAGGCAATTTGATAGCAAAACAACTTTAGTTGCGGCAATTAAAACGGCCTGGACAACAATTTTTCTGCAAATACTGCAAAATTTGTATAGCTCGCTTCCCGAATAGTGTATATGAAGTTATATTTAATAACGGCGAATTCACTCATTGTTAAACTTACAAAAATTAACTTAGAAATTTAATTTAGTATAAGCCAAGTGCCAAAAACTAGAAAATGTCTTAAGTTACTTATATAATTTGCATTTTTTTAAGTTGAACCTATTCAGATGAACGAAAAAGAATCATTGATTTTGTTAAGCTTTCAAAAGAAAAAATAAATATGAAATGTTTTTGAAAAAAACTTCTTCAGATTTTAATTTTAATATGAGTTAAAAATTAAAGAAAAAAAATTATGTAAATCGAAAAACTGGTTTAGGAATTATAGATAAATTTCTACCACTGATATAAACGTATTCAGTTGAGCGGCAGTGTATGTACATGGTGCTACATACATATGGTAAATGTATACATGTTTATGTATGTCAAATTTATAAGCCTATTGCTTCAAAATAATCAATTTATCATATTCATGGCAAATATTAAAATTAAAATTAATATGTATCAGTTCAGACTCATAGTTATTTTTTCATTCTGTATATTAATATACATACATATATATTTCTATTTTATTTATACATACATAACTGCATGCATAGATACATACATATGTACATATTGTCATTTTCATTGAAATGGTTGTTTGGACTTGTTTGTATGTAAGGTCCACACTAAGAGGTGTAAGTACTTTCGTATATAAATATGTATTTATTTTAAAGTGATTGTGTTTATATTTCTCCAGATAAAAATAAAATTTATCCCAGTATACATACATTAAATGTACATAACTTAACATACATATACTAAGAAAAAAATTATTTTTTCGTTGTCATTAATAAATTTTTATGTACTTACAAATTCTTTAAATAAATTTAATTTTAGAAATGGTTTGATTATTACCTACTTAGAACAGTTCAAGACGATTAAAATTTTGGTTCTGTATACTCTGGAAAATATTGATTTTTTGGTACTTTCAGTACTTACTGGTTATAAATCTTCAGGAATTCAAGGATTTCTCAAACATGCGCTTACTCAAATTTTCGTTCCCATTTGGATTTAACAATTGAATTAATACGCAATGGTACCTGCTAACGCATTATAACACAATAGAACCTGTAAAAATGGTATTTTAGGTATAAGCTCTCAAATGGTCGTGACTGTGCGTGCAAAAAAAAAAAAAAAAGAGAACTGCAAAAATCAATACTTTCTTGATTTAATCATATGCCAACTTTTTAATCAACTCAACTCACTGAACGAAACACAGTGATGAGTAAAAATCAACTCATTTTTCCGTACGCATCATTCCGATCATCTTGTGTCCTCGGTTCAAAATTGCTGAATCAATTCAACTCACTGAACAAAAAATAGTTTTGAGTGAAAATCAACTCATTTTGCCGTACGTATCATTCCGATCATCTTGTGTCCTCGGTTCAAAATTTCTCAATCAATTCAACTCACTGAACAAAAAACAGTGATGAGTGAAAATCAACTAATTTTTCCGTACGCATCATTCCGACCAAAAAAATGAGCAGGTGTATACGAAAGCATCAATGGGATCAACTTGAGTTGAGTGTGGATGAGTAAACGATTAGCGACAAGACGACACAATGTGAGCGTTACGACTGCATGTACAATAACAATTTCTATGCCAGCTTCTTGTAGTTTAGCTTGTAGTTTGTAGCTTGTTCTTTTTTTTGGTCAAATTCTTCGTTTTGCTTCATAATACATTTTAGTACTTCATAATTAGTTGCATTTTGTTACTTGATTGATATGGAGGGTATCATTGAAAAAATTCGCGCAAATGAATACCAATTGGCTGTCCGACATAAGGGTAGAAGTAATATTTGGAACATATTGACATAAATTGTTAAGGAGGATGGCGTTGTTCTGGATGGTTTTTTATATTGCCGATCTTGTCATGATCTTGTGAAATACTCACCGAAACAGACTTCAAATTTAAGCCGACACAAATGCTGCAAGTTGCTTAAAGAGTCAAAATTGTTAACTACAGCGAAACCAGAGGACAAAAAAGATGCTATTGACGCATGTGTGGAATGGGTGACACAGGACTGCCGACCCTTTTCATCAATTAATGGCAATGGATTTAGGAACATGGCAAAGTTTCTAGTCAATATTGGTGGAAGGTATAAGGAAGGAGTTGATCTTGATGACCTGCTGCCTGATGCAACGACGGTGTCTCGAGCTACGCAAAAGTTGGCGGATGAGAAAAAAAAATGATTAAATTTGAGATAGCCGAAGTTGCTAATAGTGGTGGAGCAACCGCCACAGTTGACTTGTGGACGGACAGTTACGTTCATCGCAACTTTCTTGGTGTTACCTTGCACTACCAAAAAGATTTTAAATTGGTAGATCTCATCTTAAGTGTTAAGTCAATGGACTTCGAACGTTCAACTAGCACAATTGTTTTAAACAAGTTTGCTGAATTCGGCATATATAATTTGGACCAAATGAAGTTCGTTACCGATCGAGGCACAAATATCGTCAAAGCTTTGCAGAATAATATTAGGTTAAACTGCAGCAGTCATTTGCTTGCCAACGTTTTGGAGAATTCGTTTAAGGAATCTAAAGAAGTTGCTGAATTAGTAGAAATGTGCAAAAAAAATTGTCAAATATTTTAAGAAAGCTTAGTTACAACATCATCTACAAACATCTGTAAAAAATCAATGCCCAACAAGATGGAATTCGAATTTAACAATGTTTAAGTCTATTGTGGACAATTGGTTCAACATTAATGAAATTCTAATAGAAAAACAAGAAAGTCAGCGATTGTTGCTTATAAACATATCAACGCTAAAACAATTGTTAGACTTATGTGGGGATTTCGAAATAATTTTTAAGAAAGTTCAATTCTGCAGTTCTCCATCCCTGTGTTTTGTGATACCTTCAATTGAAAAAATGAGGCATATCTGCGCGCCACAAGAGGAAGATGTACCGGCACTGGTAACATTAAAAGAAAAGATATGTAATAACGTTAATGAAATTTGGATTCCAAATATTTGTGTGTGGCATAAAGCTGCTTGTTTTTTGTTTCCACCTGCGTTACAAATGCAGCCTAACGATTAAGACGCAATACAAAAATTTTGCATTTCACAAATTAAGACCTTGAACGTTCCATCAACTAGTTCTGCTCAAATTAGCCCAAGCACACCAATCGGCGATTTCTCAGAATTTTCATTTGAAAGCTCAACTTTTTCAACAAGTACCCAAGCAGACAAGGACCAGAATGTTTCTTGTTTTTCCCCCAACCTAATTAAAAAGTCCACTCTGAATAGCTTTTACTGAAAAGAGGAACCGTCTTTGCCCAAAATCTGTCGACAGCATAATATTTTTAAACTCGTATTATAAAGCATTTGACCATTGATTCTGTTTTTCGATCCTTTAATATAATTTCTTAATACATTTAAAATCAAAATTAAAACATGAAAATAAACGCTTTGTTGTAAAATCGATTTCATTGTGTTGCATTTCACCTTCTTCTTCACACATTTCATCTGTGCAAAAAAAGTTCAGTTTGCGTGAATGAGTAAAATCATATTTCCATGAGTAAAATCATTCGAGTTGATTTTTGTGAGTTGAGTGCTAATCTTATGACACAAAAAATCGCTCGCACCTGAGTGGATTTAAAATCTATAACGAAAATGTGAGTGCATGCAAGTTTGATTGGCTGATCCGAACAGTGCGATTATTCGGCTGTTGAGCGCGTACGAATTTTTTTCATTCACCCGAATCCGTTCTCTGCTGTGCACCTGAAATACTAAAAATTTATTTATGTAATATTTTAATTAAGTTCATATATCTTTGCATAGGGTATTGTAATTCAAACCACTGCACTATAGGCTGGATGATCACTTTTTCTGCCCAAAATTAATAACTTCTAAACGAAAAAAAATATTTGGGTTGTGTTTTTTGATTTGGGTTTTTAGTAAGGAAGGAACATATTTTTTAGAAAATGGCACCGCCCCCTCTTGGCGAAAAAAAAATTTTTTGTCTTCCAAAGTTATATAAAAGTAGATAACAAAAAAATAACTTAATAACAAACAATAATATTAAGGTCTGCTTATTTTATTTTGGTTTTTCTTAAGCTTAGGTACTTAATTAATTATTATTTTTCTAAATTAATTTAGAAAAAAGACGTGCCGCCGACACTTTCTGTCAGGTACTATGGACATGTTTTCTTAAATACAGTTTCTACGCCCGAACCATTCAAAGCAATTATTATTAAAAAGGCCTGAAAGGTAAAATATAATTAAAACTTTACTGAAAAAAAAGTTTCACATGCGCACCTAATCAACATCTTCTTCGGTCTCAAGTTCCATATCCCTGAACTCAAATAGATCGTCTTCAATATTTTCAAAATTATCATCAATTCTAACAATTATTTCAAATGATCATCAATTCTAACAATAGAAATTCTAACACTTTTTTTTTAAGAAAAAATCTTTTATGTAGTTTGATACGGTTAGCTAGGTTAATCGATGATAAAATAGGTTCTGATGTATCCAATTATCTGTGAATACGTCCTTCAGACTGTTGCTTTGACTGCTTTTTCTCGCATGATGAAGACGACCCGATTTATAGATTTTATTCCTGGCCTCAGAACCCTCCTCCCCAAAATATCCCACGGGAAGCATTGTATTTTCAATAATATCGCTTGCGTGAACAACTCCATAATGGCGAGCCTGAGGTTGTGACCTTAAAAAGTGAATTACGCATATAGTACGCAAAAAGGCACTCTAATATGACATTCAAGAACTGACTTACCTACAACCCAGTATAAATATTAAGGTAAAACTATCTAAAGGTCCGTTTATATCTCTAACTAAACATTAGTTTTTGTTATTGATTAATACACCCAAAAGCTCTGTTAAAAACACTCAATTACAGGGGAAATCACAAACAATCTAACATTTGAGAATCGAAAACATATAGTACAAACCACTCCCTCTCGATGCCATAACAACTTTATAAATAAGTACTAAATTTAGTGCCTTTTTTATTTAGTTTAAACAGACTCTTTTTTCCGATAACAAGGGCACGTGGTCACGACACTCCAAACAGCTGATTAATCTAGCCGATAACTTAACAGCGCGTGCCTCTGTTAAAATTTCTATGACGTTTTCTGTAAAAAAAAAAAAATTCTGTTAAAAAATATTGAAGTTTGATGTTATACTAATATAATGACGTCATAAAGTCTTAATATTAAGAACTTTCGAAAAATGGGTTTTTGGCCAGAAAAAGTTGTAATACGGCCTATAGTGCACTGCTTCGAATACGAGACGTCAAAATCTATAAAGTTTTTATCAGGGTTATATCCTGTGTCGGCATAAGCCGTTTTGGTCTGTCTGGCTTTGCGCCACCTAGACTCTAAATATTTAAGGCAAACAGTTAGCCTTCCTTCATTTATTGGCACACGCATCCGTCTTTCCTTTGCACTCACTATTAGAGGTGGGCACGGGCCGGGGTTTTTTTCGTGGCCCGCGGGCTTACACAGGCCCGGAACGGGCCCGGGCCTTAAAATGAAAATTCGTGCGGGCTTTGTGCGGGTCCGGGCCGTAGCAAAAAGGCCCAGCCCGTAAAAACCCGGAATAGACCCGTAAAAGCCCGAAATAGACCTGAAAACGATTTTGATTTGATCGCGCGATTTTTTTTTTATTCTCAAATTACAACCAGTCAGGTTTCTTCCGGCAATCGCTTCTTTGGTTGGACTTTTCTTAAACCCTTCTTATAGAGAGATAAATTTCCTCTCAGAGGAAAAAAAGGAAAATGTGATAGCTACGGTAAAAGCAATGCTCTCCGAATTTATAGAAGATCATAAAAAAAGTAGTTTTGATGACGTAACTAATAACATAGGCTCAAATAATTCCGAAAATGGAATGTTTTTAGAATTTTTATGTAAAAAAAAGAAAAGTTGAGAAAAACGATATCGACATAC